TCTCTTCAGTCGTGTCCGACTCTTTGCGATGCTATGGACTGTAGTCTGCCAGGCTACTCTGCCCATGGGACTCTCCAGGCAAGAATAGTGGAGTGGGTTGCCGTGCCCTCTCCAGGGGATCTTCCTGACTCAGAGATCGAACCTGCATCTTTTACATCTCCTGCATCAGCAGAGGGTTCTTTATCACCAGCGCCACCTGGGATGCTGCTGCTGCTGCTGCTGCTAAGTCACTTCAGTCATGTCCAACTCTGTGCGACCCCATAGACGGTAGCCCACCAGGCTCTGCCATCCCTGGGATTCTCCAGGCAAGAACACTGGAGTGGGTTGCCATTTCCTTCTCCAATGCATGAAAGTGAAAAGTGAAAGTGAAGTTGCTCAGTCGTGTCCAACTCTTAGGGACCCCATGGACTGCAGCCCACCAGGCTCCTCCGCCCATGGGATTTTCCAGGCAAGAGTACTGGAGTGGGGTGCCATTGCCTCATCTGACCTGGGATGCTGATGAACCTTAAATCCAATGGCAAGGGACCTTCAAAGAGAAAGGCAGAGGAGGTCTGACACAGAGGAGAGAGAGAGCACAGAGGGGAAGGCTCTGCACAGACCAAGGCAGAGATCAGAGTAACGTAGCCACAGCCACCAGAGTCTGGAAGAGGCAAAGAAAGATCCTCCCCTAGAGCCTTGGCAGGGAGCCCTGCCGACACTTCAACTGTGGACTTCTGGCCCCAGAACTGTGAGAGAAAGTTTCTGTGGTTCTAAGCCACCACTGTTACAGAAGACAGAGGGAACTCACGATACATTCACAATCTCTATGGGTAAAATCAATCAGAAACAGCAGCAACAGCAAAACCAAACAGACTGGAAAGGCATACTGTGGTATGCCCATACAATGGAATATTATTCAGCCTGAAAAAGGAGGGGGAAAGTTTCACACACTATCACAAGGATGAAACTTACAGACATTATACTAAATGAAAAAGTTGTTCAGTTGTATCTGACTCTTTACAGTCCATGGAGTTAGTTCTCCAGGCCACTATAAGGGAGAGGGTAGCTGTTCCCTTCTCCAGGGGATCTCCCCAACCCAGGGATCAAACCCAGGTCTCCCACATACATGCACAGGCAGATTCTTTACCAGCTGAACCACTAGGGAAGCCCAAGTGAAAAAGGGCCATCTCTAAAAAAAAAAACAAAAACCCAAACCCACAAACACTATGTGATTCCATTTATACGAGATACTCAGAGTTGTCAAATTCACAGAGATAAACTGGAATGGTCACTGCCAAGTGCTATGGGGAGAGGGGGATGGGGCGTTACTGTTTAATAAGCACAGATTTCAGTTTTATAAGACATAGAGGGCTACAGAACTGGATGCTGGTGACAGTTCCACAACACTGTAAATCTACATAATACATAGAAGTGTACACTGAGACATGGTTAGGATGGTACATTTATGTTATGTGGTATGTGCTCAGTTGTGTACAACTCTATGCAACTCCATGGACTGCAGTCCACCAATGGTCCTCTGTCCATGGGATTCTCCAGGCAAGAATACTGGAGTGGGTTACTATTTCCTACTCCAGGTATATTATGTGGATTTCACTGTAATTTTAAAAATGGGGAATACACAAACCAAAACAAGGATTATAGTATTTACAACAAATCAGACCCATCCTGCTGCACCTACAGTGGATCAGAGAATAAAGGCAGAGGGAGGAGCTCAGGGTTTTCTGCTGGGAGCTGGGCCAGGCTGACTCACGAGCTGTCACATGTCGGTGTGCTCACAGTGCAGGACGTTTTTCTAGATCACACACCCATCTGAGGGACAGCATGCCCACTGGGTGGGTCTTGACTCTGTTTGGAACCCCGCTGCAAACTGCTCCCAGAAGCCCCACTTCTGTGGTTCTCTGTGGAAAGGGTGCAAGGTTTCACCCCCACCATCAGCCCTCATGGAGGCCTGAAGCCAACGTGGTAAGGGGCCCTCACAGCCCCTATAAGCATCGAAGTACTCAGCCTCCAGGGGAAAAAGCGGAGCGAGCAGATGTGTCTTCAACCCAGCATGTTCTTGGATCCAGTTTTCTCTTACAGATTCCTTCCCACAGCTGTTGAACTAAATCTGAAGGTAATGAACACCCTCCCCCCTCAGTCCTTTTGTCTCGCCAACTCTTTTTTGGGGGGACACAGTCCCACATGTGGCCTGAGGAGACAGCTGCCTCCATCCACACTCTCTACAATCGTGGGGGCTCCAAGCTGGGGGCTGCATTCACTGTCTTCCTGCCCCTTTAGCTACAGCCAAACATCTGGGAAATAGCTCTGGTGTTTTATTTATTTGTTACTGAATTAGAATCAACATACAATATTATATTAGTTTCAGGAGTACAGCATCGTGATTTGGTATTTTCATGCATGGATCACTCCAGTAAGTCTAAACCCCATCATACTGCTGTTTTAAAATGAAATTTCCTAACTGCTTCCACCTCAATAGGTTTATTTCAGTCCTGTGTAAGCAGATCAAACTTGGGAAGCTCAAAGGAAATTCTGTTGAGTCTCTCACAGGGCTCCTTGCTCTGTGGAGGGACGAGGGACATATTCAGAGGACCACTGCACTTGTGTCTTGGGATGGGATGGCTAGACTTCAAGCGACACTCTGGATGCATCATGCCCATCTTCTCCAATAGCTTTCTTAAGGACGTGCATGACCTTGAGCCCCAAACTCAGCCTTGAAGTATCCTTGGACTTGCAATAAAAGCCTTACTGGAAGGGCCATGAAAGATCCCCCTTACCCCAACCGTGTGTGGGTGGTGGGTGTCCACTCTTCAGGTGTCACTCCAGCCAATGGCACCGCTGTTTGCTGTCCAAAGCTCTCCCCAATGTGACCTCCCTTTTCCATCCATTAATGTTTTTCATTTGAGGTGAAATTCACATAACATCAAATACACCATTTGAAAGGGAAAAATTCCATGACATCTAGGATATTCACAAGGTTGTGCAACCACTTCCTCTGTTTCTGAAGCAGATTCATCACCCTAAGTGGGAACCAATAAGCAGTTACTCCCCACTCTCTCCCTGCCCTCAAGTCCAGGTAACTGCTTTCTCTATGGATCTATCTATCCTGGATATTTCATCTAAATAGAATCATACAGTATGCGGTCTTCTGTGGCCACTTCTACCACTTGGCATAATGTTTTCAAGGTACATGCATGCTGTAGCATGTGTCAGAATTCCTTCCTAAGGCTGAGGGACAGTCTACTGTCTCTAAATACTACACTGTTTATCCATCCATCCATGTACTCGTGGGTTGTTTTCCCTTCTGCCTGGTGTGAGCAGAGCTGCTATGAACAGGGGGGCACACTCATTTGAGGACTCCCTCCCATTCTTCACACAGCAGTCTGATCCTATCACATGATGCTCCAGCTACAATCACTTCAATACTTCCCACCATCCTTTACCATCAGGAGGTAAAGGCAAACTCCTGACTGTGATTTCTGAGGTCCTCACACTTGGGACCCTCCCTTCCTCCAGCATCCTCTCTCTCACCCATACTCCTGCCCAAACGACCTTATTTCTTGGCTGTACTTGTCCTTGCTGCTGAGCCTCTGCCATTGCTGTTCCTCATCCTGAAACACTGTTCCTCTGGGTCAGAGGTAATTGCACTGACGACCTGCATCTCAAATCTAAATAGCTGGACGAGGTCCAGCACAGAGCCAGCACTGCCCCCTGCCCTGCATTTCATGGGCAGGAAGGCATCATGGGGCTTGCTGTGGGATTAGGAAGACTACACCCACAAAAGATGCCCAGGGACACCTAGGGGGCCCCTCAGATTCATGTCCTGGGTCCCCGGACCACACCCTGCTGGGAAGTTTGAATATGGTGATGTGGATATAGTGACCTAGTGTCTACAGAAGCAATGTGACAAGTTGCCCAGTCACCCTCCCAGGAATCCACTGGGCATCCTGACTCAGCTCTGCTCAGCACACATCCTCACCCTGAGACTCGGGGTGGGTGTGTGGGTGTGAGGCAATCTTTACTTTACTTTTACTTTACTTTACTTTTCCTATGTGTGTGTGTGCTCAGTCGTGTCCAACTCTTTGTGACCATGTGTACTGTAGGCCTCCAGGCTCCTCTGTCCATGGAATTCTCTAGGTAAGAATACTGGAGTGGATTGCCATTTCCTCCTCTGGGGGATCTTCCTGACCCAGGGATCGAACCCACGTCTCTTGCATCTCCTGCACTAGCAGGCGGATTCTTTACCACTGAGCCACCTGGGAAGCCCTTACTTTTTCCACGAGAGTGGGTTAACACCTCACAGGACTGTGGGCAGGCAGGTGGTGACTCTCTGACCTCTGGCCCCAAGTCTACTGATGGCGCCAACTCAGGAGCTCAGCTCCGCCCAGAGGCAGAAGCTGGCGGGGCGACTGCTGAGAAAGCAGGAACCAAGTTTCCTGGTGCAAGTCAGTCAGTCACACCTGAACTTGACAGGCTTCCGTCAGCCTGGGCCACAGGACGTTCTGGGTCACACAGGATGTGGTTTTCTAAGGGTGAGGAAGCCTACGCCCTCACCTGTAACGATTTTCTCCTCTTAACTTCCATTCGGAGCCTCTGTTCCCCGAGTCTGTATGCTCCCATGTGTACACGCATCAGCACACACATATGTGCACACACAGATATGCGGGCACATATACACACATTTGTACACACAGACACATGTGGCTCGAACACATTTCCTCTTAAAAGAACAATTTAATATGACTGTTCCTCCTACATAATTCCTCATAGACTCTTTTTCATTCTTTTTTTCCCTCATATTCTCTATCCTTCCAGTTTCCAGCATGAAGTAGACACTGCCTGAGAAGACAGTGTTACAGACGTTTTCTAACTGATGTGTCACCTGCAACTACTTTCTTTCCTCCGCACGTGAGAAAAAGTTGGAAAAAAAGAGACCCTTGAGTGTTTCCGAGAGCCCTGAGGACCATAACGATGGCTCTGAGGGGAGCCCGTGTGTGACTTACCTCCAGGACTTTCCCTGTGATGAACTGGTGGCAGGCTTCACATTTTACCCCGAAGAGCCCCTGGTAGTCCTTTTCACAATACGGAGCACCGTCCCTGCAGGACAAAATGAACTCAGCTTCCGAGGGCAGGAAAGACGCCCAGACCCCATCTCTCTCTGCCCAGTTGCACAGAAGGGGAGCATAAGTTATTTCTCGCTCAACCACCATTCACATGCCTGCAGGAGACCTGGTGAGGCAGGGTCAAAACTCACAAGAGCAAACTCTCCAGAGAGAGCGCTGAGGTTCTCCAAGCCACGTGGAAGTAACAGCCAAATGGCTGTCGCTGCTCATTCCTCGACTGCCTCAGACCTCACTAGCAAAAAACATGGCGCCCCTCTCTTGCAGCACCAGGCCTGACGGGCTTCAGCTCTATCCCATGCTCCTCTTCCTCATCTCCTCCCCCACACCTCCTTGATTCACACACCAGAGCCTCCCAAGAGCGTGGAGACGCCGTCTCCTTGACCCTGAGGGAGCCTGGGGGTCCAGGGCCTCACAACCATCCTCCTGCAACCGCCTTCATTTACCTCTTGCATGCGTGCTAAGTCGCTTCAGTCGTGTCCGACTCTTTGCGACCCTTTGGACTGTAGCCTGCCAGGCTCCTCTGTCCGTGGGATTCTCCAGGCAAGAGTACTGGAGTGGGTGGCCATGCCCTCCTCCAGGTGATCATCCCCATCCAGGGATCAAACCTGCATCTCCTATGCCTCCTGCATTGGCAGGCAGGGTCTTTACCACGAGCACTACCTGGGAAGCCCCTCACTTACCTCATGACACAGTTTTAAAATATCATGTTTAAGGTGTGCCATCGCACGGGAGTTAAAACATCTCCAGACAGCCCAGTTACCTGGTGCTGCACAGGCATCAGTGATAAAGGCAGAGCAGTTCTCTTTGGCTGTGCCTTAGAATCACCTGAGGAGAAGGCAATGGCACCCCACTCCAGTGTTCCTGCCTGGAGAATCCCAGGGACGGGGGAGCCTGGTGGGCTGCCGTCTATGGGGTCCCACAGAGTCGGACACGACTAAAGCGACTTAGCAGCAGCAGCAGCAGCAGCAGAATCACCTGTGTAGTTTCTGCCTCCTGAATATCAGGGTTTGCTTTACCCCAGATCTGCAGAATTAGATTTCTAGGGGGTGGGGCCCAAGCTACTTATTTTGTTTCACTACATAAATTCATATATTAAATTCATTAAAAAAAATTTTTTTAATAGATTCTGGTTGGAGAACACTTTTAAAAGTGGATGGGGAAAGTTTTCCCTTACCTCCTCTCGGCCCTCCCCCCACCCCATGCTCATTCTTTCCTCAATTTAAAAGGTAACCACTGTAACTAGCTTTTCAGGGTCACATTAAACCAAACCCCAAAACGTCACCTGCTCTAGCTCCTACCTACCCCAGCCTCTAACTCTAAGGGACCTACTCCCTGCTGGTCCTAATAGGCTCAGTGCCCAGACGCCGAGTGTTTTTTTGGGGGGGGGGGGGGCGGGGGACAGGGGAGGGCCGACGAATATGGCTGAGACCTGGAAGGAGGATAAACGTTTACTATCAGTAGTTTCAAACGGGGGGCGGGGGGTGGGGATCAGGGAAAGTAAAATTACTAAATGTTTAATTGGTTGCAACCATTATGTCAGCTTCGTTAATTGTTACATTAGGCAACGATGAACGTTTCATTAAATTGATAACAGGCAACAACAGAAGAATAAAATTCCTTTCCAAAGTTTCATAGCAAAAAGTTCGTGTGCATTGTGGAACGTGGAGGGCTTTCATTATGTCTGATGGGCTGGGCTAGGGTGTGTTCCGCGAACGCAGGGCAGCCCGCGATGCCCCACCCCTGCTGAAGGTCCCATCCGCGCCTGCGCCCCAGGCTTACTTGCTGATGTACTCGCCGGTGAGGACTTTCCCGCAGGACTTGCACTTAAAGCAACCCAAGTGCCACTGCTTTTCCAGCGCCAGCAGGGCCTGTCCATTCTTGATGTCTCGTCCGCAGCCAGCACAGTCTGGAAAAGAGCAGCCGCCGGCCCTTACTCCACGTTTGTTAAATCCATAGTTTTGCTAATCGAAGCAGGTGGGCCGCTTTGAAACCCAGCATGCACCCACCACACACTCAATAACTATTTACTTAAGCACCATTTCATTCCGCGTTCTCGCCCTGCACGAAATCCTCCCCAGGAGACTCGCAGACGCCCCATCCTCCCTTAGCGTGGGAACATCATGAGCCTCAGCAGATCCAAGGGCCTGGATGTCCTTCATCTGTTTATTTCCTTGGGGGTGATTTAAATAGCCTCTGAGCTCCAGCTGGCCCAGAGAATATTTAATTATAGCGTCTTGGCTGTGATTTTAAGAAGGCGCTGATCAGCCTCTATTAATTGAGGGCACCTGTGAGTAGCAAAGTACCAGCCACCCCCCACCCCTTGCTGCCTGCCTCCCTAATACTGTATGTGAGACTTCTGGAACAATGCTCATAAGTCTCATTTTTGTAAACAGGACTCTACTTCCTTATCAACCTAAACCAGCCTTTCCAAAATTTGTGATCATCAATTCAATGGCTCTTAATTCCTCAGCTTTAAATTCTCAGTGGCAGGATCCTGTGAAGAAGATAAAGAAGAAAGTATTTCTTCACAGTAAAGAGTGTAGACCCTGGAATGGGACACCCTGGTTCTTAATCCCAGCTCGTGGTTGGCTAACCACGTGACCAAGGCTAGTTCCCCCCTTTTCTAAGCCTTGGGGTCCTCATATGAAAGCCAGGATGTTATTAGTGCCTGTCTCAAGTTCTCTGATGAGGATTCAATGGAATAAAGGACTCAGGTCTCTATGAAAGTTTGCTATTATTATAGTTGCTGTTATTCTGATTATTAGAAACATCATTATTAGGGAAGCTGAGTATTTAAAAGAACCCAGAAAAATGTATAGGCATACACCATTATATTGTGCTTTGAAGATAATACATTTTTTCTTTTTTTTAATATTTCAAGATTTGTGGCAATGCTACCTCAATCAAGTCTATTGGCACCATCTTTTCAAAAACCTTTGCTCAATTCATGTCTCTGTGTCACATTTTTGGTAATTCTCCCAATTTTTCAAACTTTTTCATTATTATTAAATCTGTTATGGTGATCTGTGATCAGTCATATTTGATGTTACTACTATGACTCACTGAAGGCTCAGATGGCAGCATTTTTTCAGCAATATTTTCTAATTCAGGTGTGTACATTGCTGTTTTAGACATAATGCTATCGCACACTCAGCAGACTACAACATAGACTTGCATATGCACTGGGAAAGCAAAAAATTTGTGTGGCTCATTTAACTGCTGTATTTGCCTTACTGTGGTGATCTGGAACCAATCCACTGAGCATGCAATATCTCTGAGGCCTGCATGTAAATTGGGCAACCTTTCTGGAAAGCAATTTAAATGTCTAAAGACATTTAAAATCAATATACCCAAGAAAGGGAAAGAAAGCATTGCTGGCAGGTTGCCCGTGATATCACCAATTGATCACAAAAATCATTCAGAGAATGAAGAACTGTGCAGACAGGGCCTCTTGGTACCCAAAGTGATTCAACATCCCCCTCTTCTGACCACAGCTGTGGCTGCTGCTCCTGTGATAATGATAACACTTCTAGCCCAGCTTGAATTCTCTCTTCTTCTAGAAAAACTTTCCTATAGTACCCAGCACAAGCCCAAGTCCCATAAAAATTCCTCCAAATGTCACCCAGCAGTGGCTCACAATTATTCTGGTTTTCTTCCTTGCTGAAGTTTAAGTACACATGACTTTTATTTTTTGACTACAGATGTGTTTCTGGTGACCTTTGGTCACTCAATATTTACATAACCTTTAGATCCAGCAATCTTATGACTAAAATTTCACTCTGCAAATAAATTTTGAAAAGAATGTGCATGCAAATGTATGTGTGTCTATCCCCTGAAAAATATATATTCACCCCCTACTGCATTTTTGTAACAATAAAACTGAAAACAACCTATGTGGACATTAACGAGAAAGTGGTTAAATTAATTATTGTATCGTCATTAATGGGATACTACATACTGTTAAAAGGAATAAGGTAGATTTGTGTGCAGACACGGAAAGATGTCCAAAATAGACTGGATAAAAAAAATAAGCTGTAAAACAGTATGTACAACATAAGCTCATTTTTCTAAATCATGAGAACGTAAAAAGAATTGAGCAAATAAATATTTAAAAAGTTAAAAGTATACTATACAAGTTATGAGTATTGAATATTAGAATTTTGTAAGTATAGCCCATTACAAGCTAGTGATTATTGTATGGTCGCAAAGCATTATGAATTTTTTTTTTTTAAAGCTGGAATTTACATCATGCCCAGCATCTTTCAGAGGGAATCAGACATCTGGTAGTTTACTATAAAGATAAAAATGGAAGACCATGATATTTGCTTGAATGCAATTTCTAAAGGATAAGAGCACAAGGTGAATATAAGATGAATTAATTGGTAGGTTTTGATTTAAGTGAACTGAAAATTTTTTTCCTTCTTCTGATTAGATTATGCCCACTAGGTGGCAGTAAAGATTTAAAATAAAATGCAAGATGCTGGTTGGTTGACTTTTTCAAGTAGAAAACAAACTTTAGAGATGGCTTTTCATTTCTACAGCAGAAGACAAGGGAGCTCAGGGAGGTGGGCGGAGCTCTTCATATCTCCCCTTCGCAGCACTGGGGTCCAGGAAGATCAAAGGTGGGGAGACAGCGACAGGCAAGCTTTAGAATTAGGAAGACTTGGGCACTAACTAGGAAAAGTTACTCTCTCTGAATCCTCATTTCTTCATCTCTGAAATGCAGACCCACTTCTCAGGGTTGCTGGGAGGAAGAAGAAAAACCCTGCATTGTGAAGTGCTTCATATAACACTTGGAACACGTGATACCTGATGGTTGTTCCACATAGTTCTCCTTTCCTTGGTAGGGGCTGAGCTAGGACTAGAAACCAGGTTTCTTGACTCTGCCTTGCACTTTTTCTAAGCACATTAATGCCCAGATACCCCAGACCTCTAACAGCAGCAGAGACACAATCTTAGCACAGACCTGACCCCTCTGATTATTCTGCAGCCAATGGCTTTGGTAAACCAGGCATGTTGTGAGGGCTTCAGAGACATACTCTTCTGGAGTTATTCTCCACAATCTATTATTCTTCACAGTATACAAAATTCTGGCCAGTTAGCTCAGTTAGAGCGTGGTGCTAATAACGCCCAAGTCACAGGTTTGATCCCCATACGGACCATAAAGAAGGCTGAGCACCGAAGAATTAATGCTTTTGAACTGTGGGGCTGGAGAAGACTCTTGAGAGTCCTTTGGTCAGCAAGAAGATCAAACCAGTCAATCCTAAAGGAAATCAACCCTGAATACTCATTAGGAGGACTGATGCTAAAACTGAAGCGCCAATGCCTATGGCTACCTAATGCGAAACATTGACTCATTGGAAAAGATCCTGATGCTGGGAAGGACCGAGGACAGGAGGAGAAGGGAGTGACAGAGGATGAGATGGTTGGATGGCATCCCGGCTAGAGGGCATGAGTTAGAGCAAACTCTGGGAGATAGTGAAGGATAGGGAAGCCTGGCGTGCTGCATTCCACGGCGTTGAAGAGTCAGACACGACGTAGAGACTGAACAACAATGGAGTCAAAGTGCCTTGCAGTTTGGAAGCCTCTGACCTCACAGATGATGTCCTGAATCTCTCAGATCCTCCATGCCCTGCAGTGCTCTGGGGAGGGCACATATTCTACAGCTGATATTTTTAAAAAATATTTATTTATTTGGCTGTGTAGAGTCTTAGTTGTAGCATGTGGGATCTCAGTACTTGCGGTGCACAGGCTTGGTTGCTCCAAGGCATGTGGGATCTTATTTCCCTGACCAGGGATCGAACCTGAGTCCCCTGCATTGCAAGGCAGATTCTTAACCACTGGTCCCCTGGGCAAATCCCATCTACAGTTGATCTTGATCATGTTTCACAGAGAAGCATTTACCAAATGTGAACACCTAAGAGCCAGCCATCTGGTGAAATTGGGCTGGAAGGAGAGGCTGGGGATGAGCCTCCTTCATCCCAAACCACAAGACATAAATCAAGCAAATCAACAAAGACAGCCTTCTGGCCCAGAACACTGGCCCAGGTGATTCAAAATATTCTAGTGTATTCCACAGAGGTTACACATTCGTTCCTCTCTGGACAAAACTGTATTCTCTCCTTAAACCTGACATCATGCTGGGGAAAACAGAAAAGATGCAGAGATAAAAAGATTCATGCTGATGGTTCACGCCTGCTATGCTCATTCCAACGAAGCTCTTTTATAAAGAACAAAATGTCCTCCTCTCTATCTTCATGTTTTTCAGCTGTTGAGAAAATTGTTTCCACATCACTGGAGCAGCTGCTGATAAATATAGAAAGTCGGTTGATTGGCACTGGAATTATTGCCAAAGTCAGAAGTAGGTAAATATGAGGCAGCATCAAGGAAATCAAGCCCTCCAGTAACTTGCTGGCCCTCCCATGGGGGCACACAACGGCCAAATGTGAAAACAGAAGAAAGCTATAATAAGAAGGGGATGACAGAGGATGAGATGGTTGGATGGCATAATCAACTCAATGGACATGGTTTGAGCAAGCTCCGAGAGTTGGTGATGGACAGGGAAGCCTAACATGCTGCAGTCCATGGGGTTGAAAAAGTGGACAAAACTGAGCGACTGAACAACATAATAACCTTAAACACTCTGCCCGAAGCATTTCATTCTTTGCACCAGAAGCCAAGAGAAAAACAGGGATTTGGCTACTTACAGCCAAGTTAAACTAACATCCAAGTACACACCTGGCTTCACATTTATACCATTTTGTTCAAAGTCAATAAATATCCTCAAGAATAGGGATCCTGTCTGTCTCCTTTAATATATCTCTCTTTACTTGGCATAGGGCCATGGACACCTGGGCTTCAAGAGTATTTAAGATGAAGAAGGTGACAAATGGCTCTCTGGAAGGT